GGCTCAACAAGCCTCTTTTGCGCAGGATAAGCTCATCAGCAAAGGTGAGCTTCATGGATTTGTGTGGCTTGTTTCCTTTTCCTTTACACCTCAGCTCTATCTGTTTTTGCTTTAGAGCTTCCTGGGACCTCTTGAACTCCTTATCCCTCGTAATACTGTATCCATACCTGTGCTCTTTGAGATACCGCTCCAGCCCACATTGATAGTTGGCCAGACTGTTTGGCTCGTATTCAGACCCATCCTTTTGTCTGGCGTCCACAAAGAAGGAAGCAAGGTAGGCATCAAGCTCTTTGCAGGGGATGACGTAGATCTCCCGGGTCTCAGAGGGGTACTTGGAGATGAGGAACTCTCGGAAATTGCGGAGAGCTGTCTGCGTGCTGCGAATGGTCTTCTCGTTCTGCTCCCTGCTGAGCTCTGCCGCTCTCTCATCCTGCTCTGGAAGAGGGAGAAGGGGAAAGACAAAAGAAAGCAGAAGCAGTGAGTTTGTGTGATGCACTTTTCCCCAAAACAAATTTCCTTAAAAAGGAAAAAAAGGAAAAAAATTAAAATCAATTTCACAAAGAGCACTGGAAAACATCATTACATACCTGTCATGTGACTGAAAAGCCAACTTCAGTTTCACAAATGATGTACTAGAGTATGGCACAAAACCCAAGTGAGCTCCTCATGACACTGGGGCACAGTTTTGTGCATAGAGATTTGTGGAAAACAGTGGGATTAGAGGCAATCTGCTTTTTAGAACAAATGCAAGGTAGAAGGTTTTTCTGTGGATCCCAGTGCTGTATGCAGGGCCCAATCCGAGTAATAAGCCCATTCTGAATTGCTTCATTTGTGAAACCAGAGGTTGTACTGGTTCCAATTCTTGTCTACAAAAAATAACTAAAGCATCGTATTTATGACAGTAAAAATTATCTTTAATCAGACAGTTTTTTAAAGAGCTAAATAAATATAGACAGAAATGTACAGTACAAAATAATGCAGCACATCCTAACAAAGGAGTCGGCAGGTAAAAGTACTACAGAGCAATGTGTAATTTACAAATGTACAAGAATAAAAGAAATAGTTAATATGTTCACATCAGAAGATATGGAAGAAAAACGTGATTATACAGCCTCTCTACATAATCAAGCTTGTACCTTGACAGTGGAAGTACAATTGTGATCATTTCTTTTCATTTTGCAGAAAAATCAAATTCTGGAAACAACTTTATATTGCTCTATAAGGCTATACTCAAAAGTCCTTACAATCAGTGACATACCAAACCACAATATTCAGATACTACTGCTAGGATGGTTGTTACTGACAACTGATTTTTGGGCTGATCGTAAGATAAGCATGAAAAGGATAAGCTTTTTACATGTAAGTGATGCATGTACTTAAGGACTGTTTTCCTGGCATATGCAAACTATCTGTCTGTACAAGGATGCAGCTTACAAGGACATAGGTGGAACTGTCATTATGAATGTGACAAACCTTAATGGTTTTAGAAAATGAACAGCAAATGCAACGAAGAAAAAATTCAATGATTTGACTGTTCTCTGTAACTGTGAATGGAACATTCTTTTTTCTCTCTTCCACTTAATAAGCAGAAAAGGGGAAAAAAGCAAGTTCTTTTTTGTTCTATCTCATTGCAAACCCCATAAATTTTGGTGTCCTTTCAGCAGTGCCATAGGTGTTTCCCACCCAACATACACACCACAAAGTGGTATGAGACAAGGTGAAGTTCCCACTGCCTCTCTGTCATTCAGGCCAAGCTCATGTCAGGCCATGTAGCACACACATGCTTTGCAGCATGTGTTCAGATGCTTGCTCCTCGTGCCCGCTGTGCCCTGCAAGCCTGTTAACAGTGGAGGCAGCAGGGAAAGGAAGGTGGCCCTATCTCCTCCCCTAGCCCACCTGCAAAGTTTCATGCGGTACAGAAATGTCGGTGCACAGCTGGACAGCTTCTCCTTCCACCCATCTACAGAGTCACTCTGAAAAGACTTCATCCCACCTCCATACCACAGCTGCAGACAGAGGCACTGGGAGTGACTTGCCCCAGGACTTGCCAGCAGGCCAGAAACAGGGCTGAGTTTATATCCCCAGGGACCAGGTCCTGTGTCTTCACTGCGAGGCAGCTGCTGCATCCAACAGCACTCAGTGAAACCTATTGAGAGGGGTCCTCAAACCCTCTGCAAAGCACAGAGGGGCAGGGGTCTGCAGCTGAGGCCTTTGGAGGCTTCTGCAGCCATGAAAAATGCTTCCACAGAGCACTGAGGTTTGCTCTAACCGTGCTCAAGGGGAAAAAGAAAAGGTCACCAGCCTCTTTCAGAAACTGGTTTTAGTATTGTTGTCAGTATCAAAGAGCTCCTAGCAGCCTGTAGTGAAGTCTAATGCTTTAGTCGATGTATAGGATAGATCCTTTTATTATGGCTAGATGCAGGCTGGAGATAAAGAGACAAGCTCTGAAACGAACATTTGGAGCTCTGAAACAAACATTTACTCTGGTACCTTGTTCACTGCACCCACCACCACTTACTATAGCACTGTGTAAGTAATCAGTGCTTTGACTGACAGCCCACATTTTAAGTACTGTTTCAATACAAACAGCACATATAACGGCTCAGTTTTATACATGTCATCAATCACTACTTCTTAGAGGACAGCCTGTCACAACACAGCAGTGACACCCAGTCAGTCATTTATGTTATGGCATCTTTCCTTAATCTGCAAGGAAATTGCCATATCTGCAGCTAACAGTTATAAAACCCACGCTGAATTAAAGATCCCTTGAAGTTGCATGAGCAAAACAGAAACC